TTTAATTTGCTTGTTACACAATGGAGCCTAACTTATTGTAATAATTATTTGACGTAGCCTACTTTTACACTCAGAATTATTCCTTGGCATCCTCACGCACTAAACTGCATTTTTTTTTTTTTTATTGTTTGAGTGCTGGAGATACGCTATTACATCGTGTGCAGAGTGATGTTAACATTAAAGCTAGCTGGTGAAAGAAAAGGGCACTATCAAAGAGTCTAAAGAGGAAAGTTGACAGCGAAAATAGGGCATACAAAGTCAATGAAGAATGGAAAGACAACTATACGTTCATCCTATCTAGTTTTGTGAATGCAAAGCCGGTGTCTTATCTGCAACGAACTGTCTGCGGATTAAAGTGACATCCATATCACCCAACATCCAAAAAATCGTGACTGAGGGAAGATGCCAGTTTTCACATTAAAGGGGGTCATATGATGCTTTTTTAAAGATCATTATTTGGTGTATTTGGTGTAACAGAATATGTTGACATGCTTTAATTAGCCTACTAAGCCTGTGTAATAGCCAAAATGTATTTTGAACGTAGTTACTGAATTTCATCTAACTTTAACTCTATTCCTGTAGCCTAATCCTGTTTACTCTGTCGTTTCAGGAGTATAAGCATATGCACCCCCACAGGGTGTCCGCGGGTCCTTAAAAAGTCTTAAAATGTCTTAAATAACGTTTTCCTAACGCTATTTTACTCAATATTCTCACGACACAAAAAAACATTTTTTTTAGAGTGCGCTCTTTCACTGCATGATTCAGTCTATTAAAATACATTCAGAATGATCACAAATTCAAGACATGGGGGCAGAAAATGTGTTTATTTATACCACTTCATATAGTTAATCAAGTTCACACGGAAGAGTGCCTTTTTTTTCTCCAAAAATTACCATATGCAAATGTGATATTGATTTTTTTACAACAGTTAAATAAACGAAGATTTATTAAGAGACGTTTTAGACACCATATTGCCTGTTTTTGCACTATTTCGCCAACAAAAATAATTCCAAACAAAGCCACTGCGCTGTTTTTCGTCTTTGAGCAACATGACAGCTTTTTGTTCTCGAATGAATCAACTGTTTAAATGATTCGGTTCAGTCGCAATGACTCACTTATTAACAGTGACTTGCTGCCACCTACTGGCAGTTTTAATTTCACATTTAAAGTATCTTTTCCTTTTTTTAATTATTTCAAATATCAGTATTCAACGTTTTAAATGACTCAATATATAAATATATATGATATTTTGTTTTCTTTTTAATTTATACACATTAAATATTACATATATGTATGTAATAAAATTTGTATTTCCATTACAGGTTTAGGTCTTAAATTTCATATAAGGTGGTATTAAAAATCTCTTAAGTCTCAAATTTAACTTGTTCATGTCTGTAGAAACCCTGCCCCAGCTGTTCTGCATCCATGATCAAACATTTTCTTTTTTTTTTTTGCTGATTGTCTTGTCAATCTTTTTGATAAAAAGGAAGCTGAATTTGCTGTGTTATTGTTCAAGTGTTGGTGCTGAGGCCCCGTGTTATAAGCAAATTATTTCAATGGTTCACTGTTAGTTTTTTCATACCACACATTTCATGACGGCTATTTTAGAGGTGTGTCTAGCGATCCACAGACTCTTTTGAATGTCTTTCAGAACTTTTCAAATTAAAAGATCTCAATTCATCTCAAAATAAAACATTGCTGCAAAAATGTTTTCGTACTTTTACGCAACTATTTGTATCGTGTAAAGCGCTATACAAATAAACTTGAATTGAATTGAATCATGACAGATCTATTTCAGAACCAGCCGCTATCAAAATAATCTGGCTGCGGGCGTGGGCCAGTTTTAGTCACCTGTTGCCGACCACTGATTTAGACCATAATAGCTGAGAGTTATTAAAAGGTTTTCAATATATTTGAGGATAAGATGTTAAAATGCTAAAAAGTATCAAAGGCTGTTATGCTTTGGTCTTTTTTTTTCTTCTTTTTTTCCTCTGGTACATTTTCTTATTCTGCGCTGCCTAATATTATTTGACAGATTAAATTACCTTTTTTTTCTCCAGGCAAAAGCTCACTGGCGAGTTGGTGTAGCCACTCTCAATACTCTGGCTGGCTACATTGATTGGGTTGCTCTGGTCCACATCACCAATGATAACTGCCATCTTTTGGAGATCTTGTGCCTGTTGCTGAGCGAACCTGAGCTTCAGTTGGAGGCTGCAGAGTGTCTGCTAATTGCCATTAGTAGGAAAGTAAGTGACAGCATTTACATCATAAAACTTTTTTTAGCTGCTTTTCCCATAATATTCCTTATATTTTATTTATTTGTTTATTTATTCTGCAAGTCATTGCTGTCATTGGAGTCAAATTCACATATACCTAGGGATGGGTATCATTAAGGTTTTAACGGTATTACTACTCTTACCGATACTGCTTATCGATCCGGTACTTTAACGGTATTCTTATCAGTACTTTTTGTTTTATATATATATATATATTAGTGCTGTCAAACAATTAATTGTGATTAATCGCATCCAAAATAAAAGTTTTTATTTACATAATACTGTATATCTGTATGTACTGTGTATATTTATTATGTATATATAAATACACACATATAGTATATATTTTGAAAATATTTGCATTTATTTACATGTATATATTTATATTCATATAGTTTATATTATATATTAATATATTTAATATATAAACGTCAGTATACTTTTACATGATTATTGTAGATATGCTTATAGAGCATTAAAATCATTTTTAAAAATCTTTAAAGGAAAAATCATTACAACTTTTATGTATCCTAACATCTCTCACTGATAGGATAAGAAATCTTTTAAGTCTGACCCTTTACTGATCAGTTCAATTAATTAGAATAAGAAACATATACATAAAATAAGTTAATATGTATTTTACTGGTAATATAGTTTTATATAATTAGTTCACAAATGCTTATAGATCATTAAAATAATTTTTTAAAATGGTTATAGATCATAAAAAGGGTTGGCAACAATTTAAAATAAGGTCTCTTTGGTTAACATTAGTTAATGCATTAACTAACATGAACTAACAATGAACAGTATATTTTTAGTTCATTTAATAATCTTTTTTAATGTTAGTTAATACTAATATTAAAAATATTCATGTTCATGTTAATTCACAGTACATAAACTAAAGTTGTTAAGATACAACTTAAAATTTTAATAATGTATTAATACATGTTGAACTTAACATTAATTAACATTAATAAATGCTTTATAATTATTGTTCATGTTAACCAATATAGGTAATATTAACAAATGAAACTGTATTGTAAAGTGTTACCAAAGTTTTATATATTGCTCTCTCTCTCTTTCATTGCTGTAACCCTTAAATCCAAACTAACATTAAATAACATATTTTACAGCATTTATTAAACATTTTTAATGTTAGTTAATCAAAATGCTCACGTTAATTCACAGTGCATTAACTAATGTTAACAGATACAACATTACATTTTAATAATGTTTACGTTTTTAATATTATCTAACATTATTAAATGCTATATAATTATTGTTCATCTTAATATAGTTAATGTTAATGACTGAAACCTTATTGTAAAGTGTTACTAAAGTTTTATATATTGTTCTGTGTGTGTGTGTGTCTTGATGGTTTGGATTAACCCTTTAATCCTTTACCAAATCCTTTACCAAATCGCCTATCACAGCTATGCAGATGATACCCAGATTTACTTGCTGTAACCCTTAAAACCAGACTGCCAGAGGGTTACTGTAATGCATGTGCCCACTGTGCACCGTTTTCCTGATGCCACCAGGGTGGTGGTTGCACTAATGGTTTGGGCCCTTCATCGCTGCTTGCAGCTATATTAAATGTATTTGTATTTTCTTAATTTTTTCCAGTACAGAGAGCAGAACCATTAACGTCAGAGCTTATCGATATTCCGGTCTTTCATAATTTAGCCACCGGGCCAATTTAAAGGGCACCTATCATGCAAAATCCACTTTTACATGGTGTTTGGACATAAATGTGTGTTGGCAGTGTGTGAACACAACCACCCTAATTTTTAATCCCCTTTAAACCAAATAAGTCTCACTAGGCAAGCCATTTTGATTCTCTATGCAATATGACATCACATTGCATAGGGGCCGGGACACAGGGGCTGACTTGACAGCACTGCATTGCTATAGTTTCCGCCCTAGTTGTACGCTGTCCTCCATTTTCTCAGCTCTCGAGCAGCTGTAACATCAACAATGTCTCGTAAACAATCCCGGTGCTCTGTGTTTGGATGTAAGACTGAACATAAGAGTCTTCCTTTTCTCCCAACATCTGAGCTGCTGAGGATGCAGTTGGATTACTTTTATTTTTCAAGGTAATGCGCCTCAAAATCTATCGAAATATGTTTATCACTCCAGACTCCTTTGTGAATGTCATGTTGTTATAGTGCTTAGCGTTTTAACCGTATTTGTGTGCGTATGTTATCAAAGTATTCTAATCGATAATCGCCACGCTTGTGAGATTAGTTCGCGCCGCGCTGTTCGTTCGGGACCGAGCCGATGACAGGTCAGCGTGAGCTCTGTAACATTGCAGTGTTTCTTCCCACTTTCAGTGCATTTGGCTTCCCATATGTACGGCTGAACACCGGTTCTCTTGCTCTGTTATGTTGCTTCTACCGGCTGTGTAGATATGCAATGCAGAGAGACTTATATGCGACACCCTCTTTTGGAGATGGGGCGGGAATATGCAGCTCATTTGCATTTAAAGTGATACACTCCAAAACAGCTTTTTTTTTTTTTAGACACACCCCAAAAATGAGATTTTCTTGTTTTTTTCTTTTCTTTGGATTTTCATATTTTGGGCTGAAACTTAACTGACACATTCTGGGGACACCCAAGACCAATACGGCACCTTGTAAAAAGGGGCAAAATAGGTGCTCTTTAATACCGGGTCTCAGTACCCATCCCTATATATACCTAGGCCATTTTGTCTGATTAAGAGCCAGTTAAACTTAAACTCACTGTGCACACAAGTGGCCTGTTGCATGAAGCTAGCTGAACAAACTCAGAGTTTCAGAGTAGGTTTAGAGTTGACAAAACCAAACAATTCCAACCTGCTTTAGATCAGGTTCACTGGGCTCAAAAAGCTCGATATGAACGTTCTATGTCAACTTAGAGTCTGAACCAGAGTTTGTGATGAACTCTGAAGTGCATGCACCTGAAAGTGTGATGTGTGCAGCAAACAGCCAATCACACGGAAGGTGGAGAGCATAAGCAAAGCATCAGTTGGATTCACTTCTCGCGAGAGTCAGCGCAATTCACTTTGGTGCTGAAGATTAAGAGATGTTGTCATTAATAAAAATGTAATACATTTAAATGCATTTACAAAGCAGGAATAAGCAATTTTGCTGCAGCAAAAGTTTGAGAAGGCAGCAGAAAGAAAATATGACTATGCAAAGGAATCAACTGAATTTAATTATTTATATAGTTTCACACAAACCTCAAAAGGAAAACAATTTAATCATTTTAAAAGTTGGATATATTAAAGTTTATCTATATTTATCTGTTTAATTTAATTTAAATGCAAAGCTTAAAGGGGTCATATGATGCAATTTAAAATTTTCCTTTCTCTTTGGAGTGTTACAAGCTGTTCGTGAATAGATAAGATCCCTAAAGTTGCAAAGACTAAAGTCTCAAATCCAGAGATATTCTTTATAAAAGTTAAGACTCGTCCACGCCCTCCTAAAACGCCTCATTTAAACACGCCCCCACATGTCTACGTCACTGTGTGGGAAGATTTGCATAGCACCGCCCAAATGTTCACGCAAAGAAAGAAGGCGTAACTTTTATTCTCGCTGTAGTATTGTTGTTGTCATGGAGACGCCATGTGTTTCGTTGTGAAAGTGAAACTACTTTGTTTGGCCTTCCAAAAGAGGACGATGTCCGCTTCGTCATGCCTGGAGCTGATCCGTGCTGGTCGCTGAGGAAATACATCAACTTCGCGCTGTGGATCTCCGGATCGGCTTTCACAAGCGGAGTCCAGCCCGGGGTCGTCACATGTGGTTGCCGCAAGCCCGCCGGCTGCTCCTTCGTTGAATCCGCCGGCCGCCGCTCACTTAAGCCTGCCGTGTGTGACGCTGTGTGTTTCGTTGTGAGAGTGAAACTACTTTGTTTGGCCTTCCAAAAGAGGACACGACTAGAAATCAGTGGTTAAGTTGTATTTACAACACTGTTCCAGAACAGTTCAACCCAAATATTCAGATGTGT